GGGGCGCGGGGCGGCGGGCGCTGCCATTGGCCCAGCTGTCATGTGGTCGCGCGGAGGCATCCGCAATTACACGGGAATGTTTTCCTAGAGATGTCAGCCTACAAAGGACACAATCTCTCTTCCTCAAATTCCGCCCCAAAATGTCCTTTCCCAACAGCTCTCCTGCCGCTAATACTTTTTTAGTAGATTCTCTCATCAGTGCGTGCAGGAGTGACAGTTTCTACTCCAACAGCGCCAGCATGTATATGCCACCTAGCACAGACATTGGGACGTATGGGATGCAAACCTGTGGACTCCTTCCGTCTCTGGCTAAAAGAGAAGTTAATCACCAAAATATGGGTATGAATGTACATCCTTATATACCTCAAGTAGACACTTGGACAGACCCGAACAGATCTTGTCGAATAGAGCAACCTGTTACACAGCAGGTCCCCACTTGTTCCTTCACTACAAATATTAAAGAAGAAAGCAATTGCTGCATGTATTCCGATAAGAGATCCAAACTCATTTCTGCAGACGTCCCTTCCTACCAGAGGCTGGTGTCTGAATCATGCCCCATTGAGAACCCCGAGGTTCCCGTCCCAGGATATTTTAGACTGAGCCAGACCTACGCCACTGGGAAAACCCAAGAGTACAATAATAGCCCTGAAACGAGTTCAACTGTAATGTTACAGTTAAACCCTCGCGGCAGCTCCAAACCGCAGATATCTGCTCAACTTCAGCTGGAAAAGAAAATGAATGAAAACCCGAACAGCCAAGACAGCACCGCTAAAGTCTCTCAAGTGGAAAGTCCCGAGCCCAAGTCCACGTTGCAAGACGAGCGGAGCTGCCTGCCCGAAGGCTCTGTGTCCAGCCCAGAAGTCCAGGAGAAGGAAAGTAAAGGTCTGTATTACCGAGTTTAAGCCGTGCCGTGGTGTAACTCAAACACGCCAGCACTATAAAGCAGGCTCGAATATACTAACGAGCATCATAGCCATCACATTTAATGCTAAGGAGTATCGGGCTGCAGGTGCTGTGTCGCTGAAGATTTTGGCAAGCAAAAAATATGCCACACAAAAGGGTCCAGGGATTTTCTGTAGAGATCTGCCTCTCCAGTGCATGCAGACCTGCAGATAGCCTCAGTGTTGCGGGGAATATAGCCGTCTGCTCCTTAGTGCGCTGCAGCAGCCAAAAGCAGCCCCATACCTCTAAAAAAAAGCAGGTCTGGAGGTTGTAAAATACAACCAGCTCAAGTTTTCCCTCGTAAGATTTCGCTGATTTTTTTGTTTAACTTTTTTTTTTTCACTGAGCCTTACTGCGGTTTGATTGCATTTAAAGTTAATTACGATCCTATTAAAATAGGTGAGGAATAGGTGCTACCAGAGTGGGTATAGTTGGAAACAAATGCACAATGAAAACGGCAGTCCGCTATCTGCCTGGTCCAAAGGTAGAATATTTCAGTGTGGTGCTTTAGATAACCTTGGCTTGGTCTCCAAAAGTGCTACAGTATTTTTGAAATGCTATTGAAAGCTGAAAGTGGTGGTATTCTGATTTTATTTTCCCTTTAAAAGTGCACTAAAACCTTCCTTTGAACGGCGTGTGCCGAAGAATCCCAAAACGGGAAATTTTCTCATATCAAAATGTACTTTGCAACCTCTAGGTCGATTTTTACCCTACGTGTGCATGGAGATTCTCTTTATCTGATTTATATTTAACATGCCAGGTCTAGGTTGATGTGGGGCAGATTTGTTTCTGACGGGGGAAAAAAATCTAAAAGGAAAATTGAAAAAAGAAAAAAAAAAAAGAAAGAAAAAAAAATCCTAGCTGAGGATGTTAATTTCTTGTATGTCTTTTTGGCTGGCAAAACGGCCATGTCTGTTCCTAGGTGTGCTTGTGTAATTCAGCTGACGGCTGGGGGGATGTTGCTTCAAAATACAGTGCGAGGGTATTTTGTGATTGGGATATTTTCCTAGCAAGTGTCGTGGGAACACGAGGCGGCCATGGCAGGGCTAGACTCGTTAAAATCCGACCATGGGGCTGATGGCAGGTTAAATATTGTTGAAATGCTGAACGCCAGCTGAGGAGAGCCCGTTGCGGGCCGGGGCAGGAGGAGCGTAGGGCGGCCGCAGGCAGGGGCCGGGTGGTGGGGCCGGGCAAGCCCAGCCTGGCAGCGGGTCTCCTCCC